ATATTTCTCATTAAAAAAAAAGTGAAAATAGGTAAATCCTGGTCATAACTGATAAAACTTGAATTAAGCTTCTGGTTAGCTCTTGGAAAAGAAAAATAATTCACAACTGAATCAACATTCGACAGCCATTGACCTATGATGATCTCTGTGAATTAAACCACATGCAAATGGATGGGGAGATACTGCCCCGCTCATGACAACAGAGAGTAAGGAGGCTGAGAGACCTTCTGTCATAAAACTAGGTCCACCCCAAATGCAAAGACACTCAAAGGAACCTTGGTATCTTTCCATTCATTTCTTTCCAGCAGAATTCCCTAGGTGAGCTGCACTCTGCACACAGCAGCAACAAGAATAGCATGTGCCTTGGAGCGTCACCGGTGTTCGCTTTTGCAGAAGTGCTGACGTCTGACAGAACCTCACTACCAGCTGTACTTATTCCTCTTACTCATGTCGCTTACTATGCACACACAAGTCTGTTGCTCAGTAGCGTTTTCTTCATAAATGACATAATTATTTTAGACCTATTAGCAGCCATTCTCCAGTTGCCTGGAGAAACCCTAACCACAGGAGGGTACTAAGCTAACTTCTCTCTCTCTAGATCTGCCTATCTGTTATTGTACAGCACACATGGCCTCTTAACTGGCTTCCTTTATATACCAGGATGCATTCAAGATTTGCTTATGTAGCTTTCATAGAGAGCTTACAACACTTACTGTTGAATAGCAACCCACTGTGTGGAAATGATACAAGTGGTTGGTTTACTCGCCTACCAGTAGGTAGACTTCCAAGTGGCTTCCACTTTTTAGCTGTTATGAACAGTGTTACAGTGACGGCTGATGAGCGAAGTTTCTGGGGATACATGTGCTCATTTCTCTTGGGCACAATTTACAAGTGAGACCACCGAGTCACATGGCAACTTTGTGCTTAACTTTGTGAGGAATCACCAAATGTTTCCAAAGCAGCTACATCATTTTGTATTTCTACCAGCAATGTCTGTTACTATCAACATTTTTATTATAACCACCTAAATCAATATAAAGTGGTACCTTATTACAGTGATAGTTACGATTTTAGATTTGCCTTATTTTTAATTATGTGGGAGGAGGAGCACGGGTGCACATGGGGGCTGGAAAAGGGCTTTAGACCCCCTAAGCTGGAGTTACAGGTAATTGTGAGCTGCTCTAGAGGAGCAGCCCTTGCTGGCAACCGCCATCCCATCTCTCCTGCCCCTTATTATATTTTGATTTGCATTTTCCTGGTGACTAATGACGCTAAGCCTGTTTTTGTAGACTCGCTGATCATTTGTATGTCTTTTTCAGAGCACTGATATATTCAGATCTTTTGCTTGTGTTTTTGATTGCGCTTGTTTCGTAGTGTTGACTTGCAAACCTACTCCTTTTTCCACCTTCTGTGTCCTTCAGGACAGCACGTTCTCAGGTTCAATGTCCTCCATCATTTGTTGACCAAGGCGAAACTTCTTGATTGATTCCTCTGTTATTTGTTGACCAAGGCCAATCTTCATGACTTCCTCCACCATTTGTTGACTAAGGCCAATTTTCTTGAATAATTCCTACCCTTCTCTGACTTCTTGATATTGGTGAGTTGCAGAACTTAGCCCTTGGTTCTCTTCTCTTCTGACTTTCATCCAACTTCATACTTTAGTACCATTTTTATGTTCTCAACTTCTCACCAGCAATTTCAGGCAATGGTTTGGTAGAAGCAGCCTCTGTTCCCAAATGCCCAATAGACAAATAGAAAGCCGTTCTGCTCCTAAATATAGTGCTATCAAGCAGGAGACATAGGTTTCAGGTCAACAACACAGACTGGAACAGTACTGCAAGAACTCTGAAATCTATGACTGAAAACACAACTAACAAAGACACCAAGAACCAGGACCTACACCACAGTGAAGACAGTCAGTGAAGACAGAAGATTTAAACAGAGCCTAGAGTACCTACATCACAGTGAAGATAGTCAGTGAAAACAGATTTAAACATAACCCAGAGTAGTCTTCCAACAATTTTCAAAAAATCTAGAACCCAGCAGAAAGTATTCATCACACCAGGAAAAAAATCACAACTTTAAAAGACAATGAGACAATTAATCATATGATAGACTAATATGAGAAAAACTCTTTAAGGCAAAAATCATAAAATGCCCCAATAAATGATCAAATATAAAACCTCCATTAATAATTAAACACACAACAAAGAACAAACAGAAAATGGCCCTGAAAAACTCAGGAGGCAAAAGTTAAAATTTTCCATGTGGGACTGAGAATGTGATAGAGGCAAAATACAAAATAATCTGTGGACCTGAAGACAGAACAATACAGACTGTGCCATCTGATTAAAAAAACCTGGAAAATAAAAAGAGCACAGCATCAGGGAATTTGGAAACAGTAACAGAAGAGTTAACATTTGGGGGCAGCTCGGTGGTTAAGAGACTTGCAGCTCTTCTAGAGGACTCAAGTTTAGTTCCCAGCACCCACATCCAGCTCCTGTGGGGGAGCAGTCCAACCTCTGCAGATACCTGTACATGTGGTAAACACTAGCACCAACACACACACACACACACACACACACACACACTTCAAAGCTAACATTTGTTATCAAAATCCCAGAAGGATAATGGTTGAAATATCCAAAGATGATGGAAACCATAAATCAACATACTCAAGAAGCTGCATGGGAGAAACCAGAATGGGACAAGACTAAGCGAATCCATACTCAACTTCTACTTCTCACCCAGAAAGCCCCCCAGACCCATAGCACCAGACGTGCAGCCTTCCCATGGGTGTTCCTGTCAACAGTGGCACTCGGAAGTGTAGGGAATCATCCCTGAGTCCTCCCTTTTTCTAACTCCACTACACTATGAAATCAAGGCAGCTTTATCATCTACACTTAGCTAGTATCCAATCACTTGCTTCCATGGCTACTACCAGCATCTTTCTCATGGGTTATGGTAAGCATCTCCCACCCAGCTCCTTACACACCTCTACAGAACACACAAAGACATGACTTTAAGATACACAGCAGAGTGTCCATCCTAGACTCAAACCCCCAACTGACTCTTGTTTAATTTCTGAGTCACCCTTTGGCTTGTTCTTCCTAGATCTCTTCCTGCCACCTCCTCCTCGTTCCTTCTGGCATCCATGCTGCTCCTTCTGCTTTTCATACAAGCTCTGTTGTAGGGGTTTTGTGGAGCTGTCCCCTTTGTCTGGGTGGCAGACATCTCTGTGCATGGCAAAGTCCTTCACATGCTTCACAAGACTCCCCTTCAGCTTTACATTCTCAGTAACTTCTGTTCTGAACAGCCGAAGAAAAGCTGCAGGTGCAATTGCCCCAGAAGAAAAGCTGCAGCTGCAACTGCCCCAGAAGAAAAGCTGCAACTGCAATTGCCCCAGAAGAAAAGCTGCAGCTGCAACTGCCCCAGATACTCACAACACCCTTAGTCTACCCTTCTTTCTCATCGCTATTTTCCATTTCAAACACACAACATGAGTTTACTATGTATACATTTAGTATCTGTAATATATCCCAGGTACCTACTGGAGTCTCTGGCACACAGAAGAAACATAATATATATATATATATTTGTGTGTGTGTGTGTGTGTGTGTGTGTGTGTGTGTGTGTTAAAGGAATAGTGTGAAGTTCCTCCTCTGAAAGGCAGAGTAAGTTGTATTCATTTTCTACTTGGGTATAACCAAGGTACTTTAATGTCGTGAAATAACACATTTATTATCTCAAAGTACTGGCTAGGAGTCAGGCAGGGCTTGGCCAAGTTCTCTGCTCAAAATCAACAGTGCAATCAAGCTGTCAGTTGGATGTTGCTCTGTCGGCTATTGGCTGGGGGCCACCCTAAGCTTCTGGAACCTACTTTCAGATCCTTGCTCCACAGTTGTCTCTAGGGTAAGTTCACAACCTGACAGCATCTGCCTTTCAGGTCAGTGGGAGCGACTCTCATGGGTCAAATGGGTCCCCTCGGAAGGGGTAGTCCCATTGGAAGTTCCACTCAACAGAGAAAACCTCTCCATTGGAATCACCTAGCTTATGAAACCATAAACGCATTCATAAAAAGTCCTCATGTTTGTCATATGATGCCAACTACGCAGGGGAGTCACATCTATGACAGTCACAAGCTACCTGTGCTCAAGAGCAAGGGGACTGACCGTATGTTATACACGCCAGGGCAGCCATCTTGGAACTTCCGTAGCCTACACACGAGGATAGACCTCAAGCTTGCCTCCCTGTAGACCAGATGGCCAAATAAGGCCTCAAATTACAGTATTCATTGCTCAGTGAATCAGAATTTCCAGGAAGAATGCAATAAAAGTATAATTACCACAGCCATATATTTGATGGCACTATTTATAATAGTCCAAAGTTGGAAGTAAGCCAAGTGCCCATCAATGGGGGTCACACGAAAGGCGGAGAGAAGCACACAGAGTTCTATTCACTCAGCCAGGAAGAGGGAAGAAATGTTGACACGTGCTACAAAAGCTTGAAAGCTTAAGTTAATGGAAATTAGTTAGCCAGAAAAAGGCACATGGCTTATTTCACTTATGTGGCATTCCTAGAGATGTCGGTTCCCAGAAAATAGAGTGCAGGAGAGTGGGCTGGTGACGAGGTAGACTTTCAGCTTTATAAGAGGAAGAGGAGAGGACTATGGAAGGTGATGGTGTTTTACAGCAACGTCAGGTATTAAATGCCACTGAACAATACACGTAAAGTGGTGAAAATTATAATTTTATATTTGCATTATGCCCTGTATGAAATGACAGACTATGGATACTCCCCAGGGAGGTCCTCACCCTCCCTGGGGAAAGGAGTGGGGATTGGGAGAGGGGGCCTGGGAGGTCTGGGGGGAGGGTGGGGGAGGAGGGGAGGGAGAGGGAGAGGGACCTGGGATTGACATGTGAAGCAAACTTGTTTCTAATTTAAATTTAAAAATAAAAAAAATCAATTCCTAAAAAAAAAAAAAAACAAGCGAAACTCACCTGACCCAGATCCAGTGTGAGGTTGACTTGGTTGTATTGGATGCCTGAAGAGAGAGGGGGACTTTGCCACCAGCGCTCAGATCCGTCAATCGCATGGGTGGCCGGGTGTGCCTTCCTGGAATCCTCAGAGTTACAATAGTCACAGAACTGGCCCTGAGGGAGAGAAAAAAAAGGGCTTTTTACGTTTTCAAGGAATATTTTTTATCAGTTTAGGGAAAGAAACAGCCAAACCAAGACTGCTCTCCCAGCATAGAGATGCTGTAGCACTATGGCAATGTCTGTAGCACTACAGCAATGTGCTTCGGAGACAGCAACCCGGCAGGCCTCCTCCCTTCCCTTGGTGTGAGACCCTGTCACCTGGAGCCAGCTTGTTTCCTTCTGTCATCATAGCTCTGTGTCCCCTGACCCACACAACACTTTACAAGCCTTCTGTGTTTTCTCCTTAACAAACCAGCTGGACTCTTCAAACCCTCATCTTAGCAGTTCCACGTGGGGTGCTGGGGTGCAAAGAGGATGGCCTTTCAGTCCCAGCAGAGGCTCAAAGAGTACAAACACCCAAGAAGCCATGGATGCAGCCGGGTTCTGTGGAGTCACTGTGTGGAGCGCAGTGTCGTATGGACCGCAGTGTCGTATGGGGAACTCAGTGTCGTGTGGAGCACGGTGTCCTGTGGAACTCAGTGTCCTGTGGAACTCAGTGTCCTGTGGAACTCAGTGTCCTGTGGAACTCAGTGTTGTGTGGAACTCAGTGTCCTGTGGAACTCAGTGTTGTGTGGACTCAGTGTCCTGTGGAACTCAGTGTCCTGTGGAACTCAGTGTCCTGTGGAACTCAGTGTCCTGTGGAACTCAGTGTTGTGTGGACTCAGTGTCCTGTGGAACTCAATGTTATGTGGAACTCAGTGTCATGTGGAGTGCAGTGTCCTGTGGAACTCAGTGTCCTGTGGAACTCAGTGTCGTGTGGAACTCAGTGTCCTATGGAACTCAGTGTCCTGTGGAACTCAATGTCATGTGGAACTCAGTGTCATGTGGAGTGCAGTGTCCTGTGGAACTCAGTGTCGTGTGGAGCGCAGTGTCCTGTGGAACTCAGTGTCCTGTGGAACTCAGTGTCCTATGGAACTCAGTGTCCTGTGGACCGCAGTGTCCTGTGGAGTGCAGTGCTCTGTGGAGCCCGAGAAGACACTTAGGATGCCTGTGAGAGTGTAGAAGAGGTCTCTGGGAAATGGTCTTTAGCCTCAAACACTAGAGTGTCCCAACTTGAAAAACCAGCGCAAGCAAAGACAGTGGCCAGGTGGTCCTTACTGACACACGCATTGAACGAGACTTCATGGATCAACAGCGAGATGAGGCTGCCAGCGCCAGAGTGAGAAGCAGTTCATTCCGTCTGTAAAACGGAGTCAGTTTTTTGGTTTTTTTGTTTTGGTTTGGTTTTTGGTGGTTTTTTTTCTTTGTTTTTTGTTTTTTTTTGTTTTTCGAGACAGGGTTTCTCTGTATTGTTTTGGAGGCTGTCCTGGAACTCGTTCTGTAGACCAGGCTGGCCTCGAACTCACAGAGATCCGCCTGCCTCTGCCTCCCGAGTGCTGGGATTAAAGGCGTGCGCCACCAACGCCCGGCTGCAGAGTCCGTTTTTTAACCTGGGGTGACATCTGATGTTAGAATAGCCAATCCCTAAATGAACTACTATTTTTGACAGGCAGATAGTTTTGATTTTTGTTTTGTTCTACTTTGTTCTTTTCAATGCAGAATTTTACAACTATTTACCAGCCAAAAAGCTGAACCTTGGTCTTCCTTGTGTTTGATATATAAATATATATATATATGCATATATATATATGAGTTTGTTTGGGTTTTTTCTTTTTTGTTGTTTTTTTTCTTTTTTTTGTTTTTTTTTGTTTTGGTTTGGTTTGGTTTTTTGTTTTGTTTGTTTTGTTTTGTTTTTTGAGACAGGGTTTCTGTGTATAGCTCTGGCTGCCCTAAAACTCGCCTTGTAGACCATATTGGCCTCCAACTCACAGAGCTCTGCCTGCTTCTGCCTCCATAATGCTGGGATTAAAGGCGTGTACCACCACTGCCCAGATCAGAGTCATGCTTCCCCCACCAGGGATGGACCTCACAGACTGAACTACTCCACTCCCAAACTAAGTTATCCCAGAATATAAGCTGAATGAAAGAGAAGGGAGGTAAAGGAGCAAAACCACGCTCACCACCTCCTCAGAAGCGTGCCGAGGCAAATGGAAGCATTCTGGCATTTTCAGTAATTCTCAAATGTTCAGACATAAACTTGGTTCTGGTGTGCAGCCCAATGTGCTCGTATACAACTGTGTGGTGAACAACTGTTCCTTCCCATGTGCCAAGCTGTCTGTACAGCTGTTTATCTTTTGATAGTATATAACGACATTTGTAGAACTCGGAAGCAGCACCTTGGAGATATGAGGGCCATCAGTTCCTGGGGCCACAGTTTGTGCCGGCTTTCTTTGTACCCTGTCACTTTGGCCAAGATGTCACATATGGAGAAGGCCAGCAGAACAATGACTCCTCTAGCAAGTTCTTAAGGGTTTTAAAGGTTTTCTAAAAATTATTATTACTGCCACTAATCATGTGTGTGTGTGTGAGTGTGTGTGAGTGTGTGTGTGTGTGTGTAGGCCAAAAGACAACCCTAGACAATTGATTCTCCTTCCACCTTTATGTAGACATCAGGAATCAAACTTAAGTTGCCAGGTTTGAGCACTAAGTGCCTTCCTTGTGGAGGGAAGTTTTTGCTATTGATTTAAGCTTCCAAGTTTTGGAGTATTTATTATTATTATTATATTCAAAAGAATCATAATTGAACAGAGAACAGAATATCACCAAATTTCCAAAACATACACCAAATTTTTTCACAGTATCTAGAGAAGTACAAACAGTTCAATAGAAAAATGGGCAAAAATAAAAACAGGCTGCTCACAGAGGAGGCAGAGAACACTCGAGAATATATCTACATCACCACCAATAGCAGTTATGGCAGACCATATGCAGTAGAATTTTACACACACTCAGTCTGCCCGGATTTAAAGTGTGGTGCTATGAGCATTAGAAAGGTTATAAAAACTTCGGAAGCTGCTTTGGCATCACTCCTAAAGTAAATTCACACTCAGAACATAGCAATACAACTCCTGAGCTTAGAACTCAAAAGGAATGGCTTACACATTGTTGATGGCATCAGATGCAAGGATACTTATTGCAACCTGTTCACAGAGCAAGATTCGGAGACTAGCCTAACTGTGTGTGGCTGAAGGAAAGCAGGTAATTCAAGAATGGCATAGTCACACCCCAAGTGGCTGTGTGGACAACAATGAAAAAAATGGATATATTCAGCAAAATGGCAGAATCTTGGAAATACATTAGTGAAAATAGCATAAGATTAAAAGCAACCCACAATGAAAGCATTTATTCTTTAGAAAATATGTGAGTATAATAAAAAGTATTTTAAAGAAGCAGCTGGGCATGGAGGTATATGCCTGTAATTGCAGTACTTGGGAAGTTGTGTGTGGTAGTTCAAATGTAATTGGCCCCCATAATCTCGTAGGGAGTGGCACTATTAGGAGGTGTGGCTTTGTTGGAGTAGGTGTGGCCTTGTTGGTGGAAGTGTGTCACTGTGGGGGGGTGGGCTTTGAGGTTTCAGGATACCACCAAGTGTCTTTGTCAACTTCCTGTGGCCTGCATATCAAGATACAGTCAGCACCATGTCTTCCTGCACAGGCTCCCGGTCATGATGATAATGGACTGAACCTCTGAACTGTAAGACGACACCTCAAAGTTTTCCTTCTTAAGAGTGATGATCCCTCATAGAAGGCCTCACCCTCTCTGGGGAGTGGAGATATGGGGGTCGGTGGGGAGCAAGGGAGGATGAGAGGGAGAGGGAACTAGGATTGATATGTAAAATAAGATTGTTTCTAATTTAAATAAAATTCATTAAAAAAAGAGTTGCCATGGTCATGGTGTCTCTTCACAGCAATGGAAACCCTGCAGCACAAGTCTCAGGAGTTTGAGGCCCTGAGACTGCATAGTGAGACTGTCTCAGAAAAGAAGACAAAGCAAAAAGAAAGAAAGAAACAGAGGGAAGCAAAGCATAACTAATAAAGGGTTCAGGACGGTGTTTCCTGGGCCATCGTTTAGGCTCTACATTTCATGCATGTTTACTTTAATATTACACTACCACACACATGCATACACATGTGTGACACAGAAGGACCATAGGAACATGCCATAAACTGAAGGAAAGGAGAAATCTTTAATCCAACCCTGCATCTGAACTCCAATAATTTTAATGACCATAAATAAATCTAATGGGAGTCAGAAGGAGGAAGGGGGCACAAAGAGAGTAAATACTGCCCTACACACACAGCAAACTGTTGCAGACACTCTGTACCAGAAGTTTCCAACACCCACAGATCAACAGAACGAAAGACTCACTGTGAATTGTGCTGAGACTGTTGTCAGCCTAGTAATGTAGGAAGGAGGAAATGCAATGGAGGGTGCTAGGAAGGAAGGGAACGAGGGCTGGAGAAATGGATCAGCGATCAGGAGTACTTCCTGCTCAATCATGACAGGGTTCAGATCCCAGTACCCACATCAGGCAGCTCACAATAGTTACAACTTCAGCTCCAAGAGATCCAGCACCCTCTCCTAACCTCTGTGGGTATCTGCACACCCACATGCACATCCACTCACACAGGCGTGCACACAAACACACACACATACACACACATGCACACACACATGCACACAAACACACACACATACACACACATGCACACACACATACATACACACACAAACATACACACACAAACACACATACACACATACATACATACACACACATACACACAAACACACACACAAATAAAATACAATAAATCTTTTTTTAAAAAGAAAGGAAAGGGGACATTCCAAACAGCCAATTTAAGGCTCCAGCACTGAGAGTCCACAGGAGATAAGCCAGCATCCATCCTGTGGCTCAGCAACGGCATTTCTTCATAAAAACGGAGAGTCTAGCCTCTGATAGCTCCCAACACTCTTGATGATTGTCTTAGGCTAAATACCCTCTTACACGTCATAGTCTGCATTGAATTAGTAGTATAAACACTGTATGGTTCTAATTATATAGGCACTGGTTC